AAGTTTAACCAGCACCACACACTGTAGTGCAACTACAACAGTCCTTGGGTAAACAGAATAGCGTAGTCTATTCCCGTTAATACATCCCTGTCCCACAAAACATCAGTGTATGTATCATCATACACTGCGTGTACCAACCAGCTCTTCTGTTCTGCCCACCAGGACAACTCCCAAAAGGAAACAAGTTTGTTAATCAATGAAATGAGAATGATGTTAAAAGGCTCTGCTATTCTGGGATATCTACTGTAGCTCAAAAGAGCCCCTCAGGGTCAGGAAGGAAAGGATTTAATAGTTTTCAGTGGAGTGACACATTGGCCTGATGCTTCTGTGAAATATTCTTGGAAGAAAAAAAAATTTCCATCACACTTCAACAAATGTAAATGTTTAAACTGTGAACTTAATCTCCAGTTGTCTTCAAACCTGTTACCATATGTCTTTCCTTTTTGAGTGTACTTAACATTAAAATAACATGCTTGCACTCCTCAAATAACCCATCTGCTGTTCCCTACTTCTGCTACTTTAAAAGCTTGTCAGCTGCTATCCATTGCAGTTCAATTTTCACCATAAAATTAGAAATTAATATTTATTATTTATTTTGCCTAATCACACTAATTTCAGGCACTATACTTGTCTTTGAGTGCCCCAACACTTGAAACAACAAGGGAACCCCAAACAGATAAGACTAAGAGACCAATACCACAAGTATTTCATTAGGAAACCTAACTCTGTCTCCCTTGATTGAGAATCTACTTTTGTCTAACCATGAACGAGAAACAGATAAAAGTGGTGTTTCAAGATTTCATATCATTCAAAAGACCACTAAGATACAGATTCCTCGTAACAAGCAGATAAAAAGACAGGAAAGAGTCATGGAAAGGAGTTTGTAAATAAGGCTCCTCAGGTAATTGCACATGTAACTGTACTATACATATTGCACAAGATATACAAGCCCAATACGAACCAACGCAACACAACCACTGTTACTTTGCATCACCTTGAACACACTTTCAGGCTGCAATGCACACCTCTGGCACTGTTTATACATTCTGAGTAAGAAAACATGGGCTTAAAATAAATGAAATTCAAGGAAAATCCAAGCAGCTAAGACCTCAAGCTTCCCTTAGAGTTAAGTACTCTAGTAATTGAGGATGTATTTGTGGCTCCTTCCTGCCTACTCTCTTTGCTTTCAGGGTAGCATGTCCCTGCTTCTGTTTCAAGAGGAGAGATGGATCATCTTACTCGGTCTCCTGCAGAGTTTGATGGTTAGGACTCTGAGCTGCATCATCTGCGGGTTCAAATCCTATCAAGCTGAAGAAGAACTGAACTTCACATTTCTACTAGAAGGACAAGTTGTCTAATGAAAGGTGGGGGGAAAAAACCAGTGTAACTTTAGATGAAACTTATCATTTTATGAATTAAAATGCAGTAGGACCTGACTGAGATTAACTATTCAGATTTTTTGCTGCTGGCACCTTACTCCCACCCATCTCACTAGAGCAGGGTATTAATAATCTTTTCAGTAATTTTAAGCTGTTCAGTAATCTTTTGTCTAGAGATCTTTTTTTCCCTGGATCAAAGCACTCTCAGATTTCAGGAGGCTTCAGAGGTTAGCTAGCATTTAAAAGTAGACTGATTGTATCGCTCTGAAAAACATAGGTAACTTGTTCATAAGTACAGTGGTTACAACCTAGCATTTTAAGCTTACAAAAAGTTTGAAATTAGAGTGCTATAGATATTTAGCAAATATTTTAATTATTTCTGGAAAACATTACTCATACCTATTTCCCTTTTAGAGGTTTCTTAGATTTTCACCAATAGTTTTTCCTATACCCCTTAAGGTCTCGGAGCAGATTGCATATTTATGCTGTCAATATAACGAACGAAGGAAGAGCAATCAACTCTATTCAAAGAAAAAAACTAAACTTTGCTGCTAACAGCACAATGTGATGTTTGCTTATTCCTTCCACTCCTTTAGATAAGGATGGGACAGAAGTCTTTGGCTCTGAGTAACTTCTTTCTACTTACTGACCCAGGGCAACGCATGGGGCAAAATCCTTATCTGTTTGGCCATGTTTGTTCAGCAACTTTCTAGTTTTATAGTGCAGGAAGGTTAATGCTAATTTAAGATACGGAAGTATGCTTGCTATACCCCTCAAATATTAAACATGAATTCTAGGAATGCATCAGATTTTCAAAGGTTAAAAACTGACAGGCAAACTATTTACTAACTGACTACAACAGAATAGTGCTGGAAAGTATCCACTTCACAGCATGACTCACAGTGTATTCTATGACTTCCTTGCAACCTTTGGCATTTTACAAAGATGTGGTATTATAAACTTCTAAAAAATTTAGATTCTTTTCAAAGGAAAGCAAAACAAAAAGAACATACAGCTGTGAACTGGGCAGGACAGCACCTGGTGCAGCATTGCAATTACAGCATACAGATGTATGTATGTAAGAATAACAATAAAAGAAATAAATAACATAAATCACAAGCCCTATGTTTTTCTTTAATATTTTCCAAGTACAGAGATCTATTATGCTGCAAAGCTACCAAAGTATCATTTTGCAGAAGGTAATGGATTCATTTTAACAAAAAAAACAGAGAATACCAAGAAAAGTCTTGTACTATTTAGCTTACTGGGATTGTAGACATAACTGAAAGATAAAACTTAAAGCATAATGATATTTGAAGTGTTTACAGAAGTCAATAAAATACCATAGGCAAATAATCAAATGTTTCAGTAAAAATTAGTAAGCCTTAAAGGAACACAAAAGGAGCTCTTCCCAGTCTGCTAGGAAGTACTGTGAGATTGTACTGTTTACAGAAGTGGCAGAATAAGAAAACAGAATCAATAATACACTAAGCATTTGTGTTTTATATTTTATACATATGCACATACACGTTGTCAACAATTTCAAGAGCACCAGATATAGTGCGCAAGAACAGACTGTTAACTTGAGGTTTTGCTGATAAATCCTTGCAAAAATAACCCTGAAGGAATCAATCCAAATTTGTATTATTGACCAGATGTGGCTGGCTAGCTGTCAGTATCAATTGCAGAGTGCACAAGGAATCTCAATCATATCCTTGACTTCTCTGGGAACCAGAGGTAACCTAACAGCACTAAAACCAAGACTCCAAAAGACTGTCTAGATACACATATAGCTGTGCTTCACCTTGGATTGTTCAGCAATTGTTGCCACATCTGAAGGTGATTCCTACTGCCAAGATATTCCTCTCAAATTCCCTGATCTGTATCAGTAGGTTGTAACAGTACACTGTATCACCATGGTGTTTGTATTATACAACAGGACTAATCACCACTATGACCCATATAATTAATATTACTATTGATTACAATTAATACATTAATAGAAAGATCAGTACTTTTTAAAACAACCCAGGCAACATGTTTAACCACAGGACGCAATTATAAGCAAGTACGGAAAGGCCATAAACCATATTTGAAAAACCCATAAAAACCTTTTAAATGCTCACAAGAGTAATTTTAAACATTTTACTGAATGATCCTTTGTTCTCCTATTACAATAGGGGGAAATGGAGTTTCAGAAATACTTCTTCTAGACTATTATTATTCTGAGAAATACAGCAGCTGCTTCTTTGTCATTTACATTGCCAGTAAGTGGCAGAAGATGAACCAAGAACAGACAGAAGATGATAGATCATGGTGCTTTGAACATATTTGTTTTTAACAATAATAGGGTATAAAATTAGGTAGCTACTTCAACTGCCTCTCGAACCATGACTGACAGTTCCCTCAGACCTGAGGAAAGCACAGACAGGTTTGGGAGAGGAAGTGCTAGATAGTTCTGAAATTGTGAAACGTGTGGAAGCCTCTAATAAGAACAGAGACAAGCTATACGCGTGTGGATAAACTGGGAAGTGAGAAACAGCAAAAGGCCACAAAAGGAGTTGCACAGGACTGGCTGCGAGCCGCAGAAGTTCTGAGGAGAGGTGATATCAACAGTGGTCCTGGTTAGATTTATGAGAAAAAAGGTAAGAGTACCTTATATAGCCAAAAGGAAGCATGAAATGTGAAGGAACAGTACGGAAGAACACTATGATCTTTTTTGTCAAACTAATAATTCTTAAAGAAATCATATTTTTCTGGTATGTTAATATAGTAACCATTTATGATATAGGCCAGCCATTTAAAAATTAAGACTGAGGTATCTCAAAAAATTGTGTAAATAAGCATTTAGGATATTTGTAATACTATGGATTACAACTTTAGTTAGTGTTGGTAAAGCATCAGAATGGAACATTGGAAGTTAATGGAAGTTGTCCCTGAGATATTTTGCTGTAAAGCATTTCATTAGATTTTCCATAAGAAAATAAATTTAAAAAAAAAAACAACTTACAAAAGTACAAAATCCAAATGTATTTTAAGATATACTTAACATGAAGAATAAACACAAAGAATTATTTCTTTTCTAAACAACAAGTGAATATCTACCAAATGTGCTTCTTCCCTGTTCACTTGTTTAGTTAGCCATCAGCCAACTTCAGCTGGCTGGTTATTATACAGGCAAAAAAGCAGATTCTCTGTTATGATGTATTTTACAGAATAGATTCCATACAATATGCATAGAATTATCTGTAAGATGGGACCAATCTAGCTAATAGTAAAGTCCTGTTTATCCTTCTCAGAATATTGTATAAAAACAGAAGACACAAAAATACTCCAAAGCATGCAACAGGGAGAAATTATCTAAACAAAGAGTCTGTAGAAAAAAACAAAATAAAATCAATTATTCAGCTCTAGCCTCCCTTCCAAAACCAAATCCTTAATCACTATTTAACAAGCATTTAATATGAAGCAGACTTGCATTAAATGGGCAGGGGGGGAAGACTGTTGGTAAAAAACCCAGACCAATCTTCAAATCCATCCCCTCTTGAAATGAATGAGATGAGAATCTAAGAAAAATAAACATGAGAGAAAGCGTAGAAAGCAAACATGACATTCACTCACATAAAATTTTCTGGATATTCACTCAAGGCCATATCAATGATATTCAAAGCATCATGATAGTGTTTCTGGGCTGATAGCAAGAGTGCAAGGAGATGAAGAGAGTTGGCATCATCTCCTTGTAGTTGCAGAGCCTGTCGAACATAACCCAAAGCTTCTGGTATCTGATTAAAAAAAAAAAAAAAAAGGCAGAAAAAGAAAGCACCACTATTAGAAGTATTGCCTATTACTTGATTGCATGTCCATAAAATTTTCAAAATATTCACCTGGACACTGTGTAGAATTCTACAGATTCCTGTAAGACACTACTCAGAAGTTTAAAATGGACCTGATGCTCTACAGTGTACAGTAAAATTTAAATAATATATTAACCCTGGAAAATAAGATACACATTTTAATAAAACAGTTCCCTCCAGCCCTTTAAAATATTCACTTACTATTCTTTTTCAAGTATTAGTTGTATTTCTATATGATTTTGAAAATACTTTAATTGCAATACATTAACTAAAATGTACAGCTAGACTGCAACAGTAACTTTTCTTCATGTGGAATTTCATGATCCCCTCAGCTGTGTATGCTTTTGCTCAAAATAAGCACGCTAAGTGTTAAACCCAGGAAATTTAATTAAGAAACATGACAAATTTGGAATTCAGAAGTAGAGTGTCATAACCTGCTACTGAAAAATATTTTGTGCTATTAAAGTGACAATCCATTCCACTCTAACGTGACATAGTCCAATGTCTCTGCTACTCATTAGCAATGAAAAGTAGTCACCTAGAGTATGTAAACTACTGTGCTCAAAACTACTTCCTAAAATAAACATGACACAGGAAAAGGTTTACCATGACATATACAAAGCAGCTCCACATTATCCAAATTCATGTGATGTACAGTAGAATCCTAAAGCCCTTAAACATAACAGCTGTAAAAGTTGGACTGAGCTCTGATCTCTTTTATAGCTTTAAAATATTTTCCAGTTTTCTTAAACACAGTTTTGTTATATTGTTCACAATAACCAAACCTCCTACAAGTATTCAGAAAAGGTATGGATCTTAGCAGATACTCAAGATTTAAGCACTGTCAAGATCGACCTGTGACCAGCAGGTCGAGGGAGGTGATCCTGCCCCTCTACTCCGCCCTTGTGAGACCCCACCTGGAGTACTGCCTCCAGCTCTGGGGGCCACAGTACAGGAGAGACATCAAGCTGTTGGAGAGAGTCCAGAGGAGGGCCACGAAGCTGATCAGAGGGATGGAGCACCTCTCCTATGAGGACAGGCTGAGAGAGTTGGGGTTGTTCAGCCTGGAGAAAAGGCGGCTCCGGGGAGATCTAATTGCGGCCTTCCAGTACCTGAAGGGGCCTACAGGAAAGATGGTGAGGGACTGTTTATCAGGGAGTGTAGTGACAGGACAAGGGGGAATGGGTTTAAGCTGAAGGAGGGTGGATTTAGATTAGATGTTAGAAAGAAATTCTTTACTGTGAGAGTGGTGAGGCACTGGAACAGGTTGCCCAGAGAGGTTGTGGATGCCCCCTCCCTGGAAGTCTTCAAGGCCAGGTTGGATGGGGCTTTGGGCAACGTGGTCTAGTGGAGGGTGTCCCTGCCCGCAGCAGGGGGGTTGGAACTAGATGATCTTTGGGGTCCCTTCCGACCCAAACCGTTCTATGATTCTATGATCATTAAAGAGTAGATTCAAGAGTCCCACTCTCCAGATAACCAGTCTGAGCAGAGATTACATGATAGGTAAAAACAGGGTAAAAATTAACTTTTTTTTTTTCCCTCTCCATCCAGCAACATAAATGTTGAAACAAATAAATTTAATGACTTATGTCTTATTTCTGATCCTAGAGCTGGGAATACTGTGGCAGAACTCTGCAGAAGTGTACAAGATGGAAAGTGTTCAGAGAGAATATTTTGGTTGGTTTTTTTCCATATATATGCATATATGCACAAGGAAAACCAGATTTTTTTTGAAGAAATCTTCATCTGTATCAATCAACAGATACAAATCCTAATCTTCATTTGGTAATGTGAGGCTGCACGTTTAAAACACAACTAACCTGTCTGGATATGGCAAGCTGCAGTGCCAAGTAAAATGCTGCCAGATGATCCGTTGGAGACAAACTGTGAGCCCTTAAAAACAAAGAAGCAAAACAAAAAACCAGTGAATTTTTCCCCTGTTAATACAGGTTAGACATACACACAAATGCATATATATTCATTTATCCATATTCAGATCTATTCACTACATGTATGCCCGCATTTTGATATAAGTGGTGTTCATTCCAGTGACTTTTCCCATACTTCTCAAACATCCTTGCTTTAAAGGAAGCACTTTGGGCCATTAAAGAATCATTTTTAATAGAAATTAATTAGGTAATTTCAGTATAAATCTTAAAAGTGAACAATACAAAACAATTCTTCAATTAAAATATACAAACACCAGATGTAATTATCTAAGAACAGTTATAATAAAAATTCATTAAGCAGAGTTTTCTTACAGGGGAAAAAAAAAGTCCCCGAAAATAACACATCTTCAAAGAGAAGACTTATGTCATCTGCATGAGAAGTACCCAAGCAATCGCACCGATCCTGACCAGGATGGTTCTGAAGCACAGAACTCCCAAGAGGAAGAGTAGCAGCAAAGTAGATCAGAATTTTGTTCATTCTTCAGAGTCCAAAATTTTAAGTACATTTTCAGTCCAACATACTAAGTCTCCTAGGAAGCCAGTTACTTCTTGGCTTTGAGTTGCTTTAAGTTAGCAGAGCACCCTGCTATATAGCAATGTAAAAGAAATCTAGGCTGGACAACTTTATTACAGCATTATAGTAGAAGGAAGCATAGGATCTCACTCATCATGAACCTATGTTTGAAGTTCAGATGAAGTTTATGCTGATGATCTTTTCATAAATACAAGTTTTGTTCACAAAAATGCTGAGCTGCCCAACAGCAGCAGTGTTTTGTTATTATTCACTCTCAAGATATTTGTAACTATTGCTGTTGTAAGTAAGCCCAATTACTAAAACAAAGAAATAACTTTTTTCCACCTTTTTTTGAAGTTTTGTTTGTTTGTTGTTAATGTTTTGGTCAAAGGAACACACGTTGTCTTACTCATTTTGACACTATCCTACAGAAGATGTCCTTGTAATACACTCCGCTATTTTCCCCTGTAATACAATCTTTCTGCTGCAAGATAAAGGGGTTTTTTTTGGGGGGGGATAAAGATGGGATGCACATAAAGACAAAAAAAAAATTATGGCTGTACCCCAAAATAATATGTTGTAAATACTAGGCAGCAAGACTGGAACTATGTTATTATATTTATATTTGTTGCATTCTTTTAATGGGGGCTCATTTAGAAGTAGGATGTGTAATAATCACCTTCAGAACATCTAATGAGTCGTCTCCATCAGGATGGAGGAACAAAATTGACCTTTAAGCCATTACAACCACAAAGGGAACCTTCTGCTTCCGACTTCAGCATTTCTGTCTTCCCAACTCCAAAGAGACAGCTCCATTAGTTTAGCAACTATGCCCAACGTGTATCAAAGTAGTTCAAGTTATGAGGAGACAGTTTCATATTTTAACTCTATCTCTAAATTGAAGAATAGAGTCAAATATAAAGCCTAACAGGGGCCAGGACCAGTTCTTTTTAAATTTAAAGTTCACAAATTAAGCAAGACTAAGTGAGAACAAGAGATTCTAACTTAGAGAGTACTTGTTCAGTAACCCAAGCTTTAGCTAATGAAAGAATAAAGCTCTTACTATCTATCAACCATTTGGTGATTTCTGAGAAACTCCAATTCACACCAACCACAGGAAAAGCACTGAAAGTCTTCCATTTAAAAAAAAAAAAAAAGTTAGTGAAACAACACCTCCTCAGCACTGTGCAAAGATGGCAACAAGCACCTTCTCAAATGGCCACTATCGCCAACTGGTAGCCTTGAAATCTGGCATAGTCAAGGGTCCAAAACACAACTGTATTTCTTCAAGACCTCTATTTCTTTAGGAAGTGGTCCTTTAGGTAAGTGATTAAAAAGCTTCCCCCCTCAAAAAACAAACAAAAAACCCCAAAGAAAGAAACAAAAAAAGCACCCTTGCCACATCAAAATATTGAGTCCAGTACAGCTGCTGGCTTTATAAACTGTAAACCATGCAGGAGATGCATGAAGAATTTCAACTTCCACCTCCTGGAAAACATTTATTTTTAAGATGTGGGAAGAGGAAGTAGGCATGACTCTTGTATGCTGAGCATAACATACCCTTTGTGGTAACAAATTTTCAGTAACATCCTATAACTATGCTATTAACACAAGGAATCAGCAACATTATCAACCACATTGAAGTGTATTTCCAGTACAGCTGATCTATCAGGTGTTAGTCTCTCTATGAACACAAGTGGGGAAACATGTTAATATGCAAAAAAAACACCTTTCAAAACATACTTTTCCCTTCTCTTAGAAGGTAGCTATGTGATTTTTGAGATGCAGAAACTCTGTTCTTTTCGAGGGCCAAACCATTCTACTCAAGATTCTGTGTGGAGTCTGAGCTACCGATATCAGTAATATCACTAAGAGCAATATTAGCAATTCACTAGAGTTTTCAAAACATATACCCTACACCTTACTAAAACCTCCGAAAAATACTCTAATTAAAAGCTCACCGTGTACAAGCTCATTCTAAGAAAGGCCAGGAGAAAGGATGAACATATAACTTAACATCAATACCCTGGAACATGCATGTAAAAATACAACACATTGTTTCTAAGAGGTTGTATCAACTGGGAAAAAAAAGAACAAAGAAAAGCCCAAAGCATCAGAAAGATGCATAGAAAGCAGATGCAATTAATCCTCATGTTCCCAAGACCTTCTGTGTATGAATTTATATTCTGCTAGTTAGCACAGATATTCCAAAGGTCCTTATCACCACAAAACTGAAGTTCCATTCAACCTATATAGCTAAAGGACATCTGTAATGGTTCACTGAAGAGATGCTAGGTATGTTTTCAGACTTCAGCTGGCAATATCTGCTGCTAGGAAGTCTTCGAAACTCAACAGTTAAGAAGGTATCAAGAGACTTATTGTTCAACTGTAGAGAATGAAACAGAAAAGTTCCTGGGTGAAAGATGACATAGCACACGACCAACCAACAATATTTGAATAGAGAGTGTGAAAGAGTAATTTTGCAGTGGTAAGAAGCTGAATATCATTTGAAAAATAGTTCTCCTACTGTGTATGGCTTATTCTCTTTTAACTCAAACAGCTTATTCTTTTTCTAGAGCAACATAATAAAATATTACCACAATAAGCAGTATGCTACCTATAAAAACATCCTCATATTTATGGGCAGTCAAAATGCTGCATAACCTCAACCCTCAGAAAATGGAAATTTTCCAGACAGATCAATAGCAGGGAACGACTCTGAGAATTTTGGTAATTGCTATACTAAACTGGAGGGTAGAGTCAGCAGGTACTGAACTGGAATGGATTAGCTTCAGGCTATGGTTCGTTTCATCCCTTGCTGTTTCAAAGAATTAGCAGAAGAATGCAATTCACTATTAGAACCTCAGAAGTAGTGAATGGGTAGAAATGGGGAGACATGGTTAGCGCAGTATTTTGGAAACAGTGATGATTAAGTCAGCGGTAAGAGGGACAGGTGAGGAACTGAGGTATAAACCCAGAGGTAAAAATTTCAGTTGCAACATGGAGAAAGACTACTGAAGTAATAAAAAAACCCTATTAAAACCATTAAAGAACAGGAAGAGCAAAGCTATGTTAAAACATATTTACGTACAGAGACTACTTAAGACAAGACAGAAAAAGGAAAGACTAATACATACCAGCCTCATTCTAAAGTTACCTGCAAAACACTTTTTCCACCCTATCCTCTCAGATACAAAATCACCAACAAAAATCTGAAACTTCGAATTCACATTAATGCACAAATCAATTTCCCTAAAGCATTTGGGCCTACCTCACCAAAGCAGGGTTTTCGAGAGTATACAAACATAAAAAGAGACATATTTAGATGCTGTAGCACTTCTGCCAGCTTTGCCATCAAGATTTGTTTCTTCTATAAGCAGGGTAGAGATGTTCTCATTCACCTGTTTATTGTCACTTTGTTTGCAGAGTCAAACGCTTGAGAATGAACTACTGTCATCCCCAACAGCGTTACTTTTGCGTAAGGCACCTGGACGATGGGGCATTTGCGTTGCCACTGCCTACGCTGTTAAATCACCGGATAGAATTTTTTATTTCCCACCTATCTTACTACCTGCATTTCACCCCTCATCCACTGCAGCAGGGCCTCAATTATTGCTCTGCCTCTACAGAGGTAATTGCAAAAGCCTGCTATACAATCTGAACAGCGACCAACTCTTCTAGAAACACTAGCACACTGAACCATGACTTGAAACCTTGCATCACACAATTTTCCCTTCTAGATGAGAACGGAATACTCCTTTGAGCAAATATTTTATACTAGAGAGCAACAACAAAAAAAAATCTTTAAAATGAAATAAAAGGAAATCCTTAGAAATCAATTTAGATATTTCTGATAGAAAATGAAGTCAATGACACATTCTGTACTCATGAAGGGAGACTCCCAGAGGTGAAATCCGTATTACACAATCTTTTACAAGTCCCTCTTTTTAACACATAATAAAAGCTTTTCACTACATATAGCAGAATGAAATTAAAATATTAACACCCACTCACCTCTGAAATGCAAGAAGAGCCTTTCTCTGCAAGACCTCTTGCATCCCTCGCAAAGATGCTAAAAAGGATATATTTAATCAGTGATATGCAAGATCAAGAGATTTCATTCCACATGATCACTGAAGAAATTTTAATACATTGACTAAAAAAATAGTTGCACACAGAAGCTTTAATTTTAAGTCTAGCATTCTGCTAGGTATCATTTTTTAGGCAACATGGGAATTTCTATATGTGAATGTTTATTCTTATCTTACCATCAGTAGCCTGCAGACTGTAAGTCAATCCCAGTGCCAAGTAGCCTTTTGCTTTAAACTCTGATGTTTTGTCCCCAAGATCAACAACTGTTTTGGCAAATCTTTCAGCTTCTTCCAACTGAAAATATTATAAAACATCCATGTAAGTCTAAAACTAGCTAAATCTTACATTATAATAAGAACGCACAGCATGTGTATTATGCACACTGAGTCTGTTGAAATCTCAGTCATGATTGCTTTCAAGGACTATTTCATTTTTCATACTAAATGAAATACTAAATACTGAGTAAAGAACAGAGATTTTAAGCTGAAGCACCATTTCCTATGGTTGAGAGAAACTCTGGCATATAACACACAGATCATTCTAAACTTACTGTGGTTTTCCCTTTTTTCTTTTTTTTTTTTAATAAAAAAGGCATCTACCATTTTTGCATTTCATAAATAAGAAAGAGTTCTTGCCCCATGAACCATTTCTTTAGGAAAATCAATTACAAGAATTATAGGTCTAAGCCAGCAAAAAAAAATCATAGCCATGCAGAACTCTGCATCACAGAGTAACGCCGAATGTATGCAAACTCATAAATAAACATGTAAAAGATCAAGGTTTAACTGCACATCCATGCCAGGACACTATTTAACAATCTAGAAAGAAAAAAAATAACATTTGAATCTGTTCCAGTAAATGTAAATGCTAAGTACAGTAAGCTACTCCATATGGAGTCAATCCACAGGGAATAACTTACAGAACTAGGATCTATGTTAATTATGAAGACTGTATTTTTGTCAGCTTCAACAAGTTATGTTTCTGCTACTGCACTATTTTCTCAATTTCTGATTGTGACCTTTCCCTCCTCTTTTCCTCCTTTAAATATACTCATTCTGCTAAAAATTACACATGTATCTTGAAAACCACATGATCATCTTTGGTCACCTTAATGTTTTTTGTACAGATACACCAATTTCAAGTTTATCTAAAATACAATTCAAGTAACACTTCTTAAAAAGACACTGTCCCTGGTAGGAATTCATAAACCCCATCTGCCTGCAAACATGGTATCACCAGAAGAGTCTCTTGAACAGTTTTGTTTCATTATCTTCCAAAAAAATTATTTTCCTCTTGCACAGAGGAAACAGAGGTCTAAGTTGTATTTTTCATCTCTGTATGCCAACGTTTCAATTTCTAATACATTCTTAGCTATGCCTTAGATCAACATCAAGATATGCTACCTTGATAAACATAACCTTGCTGTGAAATATTTTAAATCAGCCATGCAAACAGGGATGTACATGTGCATATATGTATCTATGCTGCATTTTTAGAGATGACCAAATGCATGTAGTCATTGTGCAAAAGTATTTGCTACATCTGTAAACCAAGATTTTGTTGCATTTTAGCACAGCTCTTGCTGAAAAGACAATGAGTGGCAAAGCTTACCCAGTGGAGAGATCCCATACATAGCTTTGCAGCAAGGAGTGGAATAGTTGCATCATCTGGTTTCAAACGTATACATTCCTTCAAGACTTTAACAGCTCGAGCAGACTGTTAAAAACATTTTCCATTGAAATTACTAAAAGCATAAATATGTTTCAAGATAGAAGATTCCTGTTTCCATCATTTACGTTATTTTTCCCATGTGAAGGAGACACAAGTTGTCAGAACTCCTCATGCAAGTGACACACAAGACTTTAGGCACTGTCGTTGTTATTTAACCCCTATGAACTATCATTAGGTGTATCATTAATTCCAGCGGTACATGATTCAGAAAACAGTTTTGAGATGCGTTTAAAACTTTGCTAGGCCTGTAAGTTCACAACATTTGAGCCAGGCAAATAAAAGAGCAGGAGCAGGACAGAGTCTTCAGAAGAAGCAGTGATTTAGTGTTCTTTGGGCATTACAATAGCACTTAGGAATAACTCTAAGACTGTATAACAGACTGGCACTGCTCCTCTTTTTTTAATTTATTTGCCTCCATTCAATCACAGGTTAGAAGACAAGTCAAAGTAAACAGAGAATGGGAAGAAGAATCAAGCCTCTTCAGAACCAATGTGCTTCTAAAAATATTTTCTAAAGAAAATACAAATCATTCCTTTCCCCCATACTGAAGATAAGCAAATTACCCTCATTGAGAATGATATTTTAGAAAACTAGTATTATGTACAATACGTAATAAAGGTGATTTATTTTCTGTAACATGACATGGAAAACCAAAAAGAACTGAAAATAGAAGATTGCATCTGATAACATAAGTTCCTAGGTTATATAAAATTTAAAAAAAAAAAAATCCATCTCACTCTAATTGCACGGAATACACAGTGTCAAAGACAGTAATGTAAGAAAACAGTCCGAAACTCTCCCCCCCACCCCCTCACAAAAAAGCAAGAGCACCATGAATCAGCATTAATTTGTACCTAAGAGTAAAATTTGTTCATCAAAACAGCACTTAAACAAATTGTTACTGGATAATATGATCTGGTATAATTCACTACTTACATTCAATTAGCTTAGCTTAAGCTTGTTGGCAAGATAGTTGTTATCATCACCCTTCAGTCTTCCTAAGTTAGAAACTATTGAAATAACAACATTCTTTGTACAGCACTAGGCAGAAATTCAGTAGTACAGTGTACTTCGCTGATTTACAGATTAGAATTATTTTCAAGAACACTACAAATTAAAATTATGGAAGTGTCATATGTTTTTATCAAAAGCCATCAACAGAAGAATTACATCAAAAAATTAAGACTTACTTTTCCTGCTGCCATCAAGGACAATGCAAATTGATACCAGAGATGGAACTCTTCAAACGCAAACTTCATGGCTCTTTCTAAACACTAATTTTGGGGGGAAAATCGGTATTTAAGGGCACATTCTTCAATTATTAAGAAGATATACTAGTAGAAAAATTTTCTTATACACTCACACCTAAAATACACGTAATTAAAAATTTAAATAAATCAAATAAATTAAGTAAAAACAGCTGCCAGATTCTATGTGGAAAAAAAAGAATTGAATAGAAAACCAATTCCCCGTTTTTTTTATGTTTGTTTAAATACTCCTGCTGGTACTGTCCTATTTAGTTAAAAGAAGGAATGATAAATATCAGCTTACCGAAGATACTGGCTGCAAAAGGCAGGAAATATGTCTTAGGTGAAAAGGAAAATTGTATACACATTCTTCATAAATTGTGAACACTTAACAAGCAATGGCACCACAAGTACTTCTCAGTACCCCTTAAAGGGGCAGAGTGGGTGTAAAGGTTCACCTGACAATATTATTTCTATTTTTAGGAATTTTAACTTCATGCTCAATATTCTGCTGAGATTTTCAACTTAATAACTGACAAAAGGAAATTCATTATTACTATATTGAGATTAAATATATAAAATTAGCATTACATGCTAATTTAGGTTTCATATCTGCTGTTGTCAGTAAGAATTATTTCATTTTGTTATGCTCATTTTTACTAATCAGGCCAGCTCCGGAGAGTCAAAAGATGCAACACTTTTCTGAATTAAACTGATCCAGCAATTAACTTTCTAGTCTGCAGAGTCCAATTACATAAAGCAGCTTTTCTGCTCTGATAGCCACAATGTATATGCTAAACTGTAATACCATGAATTATTTTTCACATTCAAACTCAGCCTGAACATTACAGAAAGCACAGCCAGGTGTGTGGTGTGTTCCCACACTTTAATAGAACCTGAAGCAAAGAACACCACCGAGGATGAAACAACACAAGTGCATTATTTGCTACATATAAGTAATGTATGCTAGAATTTTTCCTTCTGTACAATGTCCAGTATCAAGATTATTACTAAATAGATTTTTTATTAAATTATTAGAAAGGAATGAAGTTTCTAAAAACAAATTCTTTCTAATTCTGTTGTTACAAGTTCATCATCAGATTGTATGTGCAGTAAGTTAATTAAATGTCTATTAAGAAAACAAACACAGGATTTATTTTCCCATTGGACTTTCCTTCTATCCGTGGGAGCAGAAAGATCACAGCAAGAAACAAATAAGCGACATGTGAAGTTTTCTCCTATTACTCTGGATACTTCACAGAGATGCCAAGGTAAGGCACGCTCCTCCACCTCCCTCTATGAACTTGGCAGAAGACAAAAGTTGCTAAATCCTTCTCTCTCTCTCCACCAATTAGTGCAACTATGGTGCTAAACTGAGTGCCTCTAAATGAAGGAGAATGAATTCAGGCTTGTCTTTTCAAATACAACTCACCCTACCTGTTTTGATACCAGTGTTTTACATATGATTTCAGTAATTTCAGCACTTCTTCCAGAACTCTGGAAAGTATAATCCCAGAGATTCACACAAAGAAATTGTGCATGGAAACTTAATACTTAAAGACAAAATATGTTTATAACATTTTAGGCTGCTTAATCATGCTTTCTTCTCCCATTTTTACATATTGATACACATATGCATGTGCATTAATTATACAGAGGTACTTGTTCACAATTAGAAAAATAAAAATTTTATTTTCTAGGCCTTGCTTAGTTAAAAATTAATTGCCAATTCTAACTGGCAGAAAATCAAGAAGTTGATGCTTTAGGTTTTTATAATTTTGTAATTATAGGGACACAGGACACAATTGTATATTATTCTAAAAGGCCTGAGTTTTAATGTAGTAATGATATATTTACTGTTCTTTTCCCTTGACTTCAAGTTCTATTTGCTTGGTTTAATTCAGTATGAAATGTGACAAGTTACAGGATTTTTTTTCTTCATAAGATCACAAAATTGGTGGTTAGCATGTGTGGGAGTAAGCGATATATGTGCATATATCTGTAGGTGATCTATGCAACAACATGAACACCTCAAACTGGGTTCTTCTGAACCAAGTAACAAGTAATTTCAAAGAGCAACAGGCTCCGTCAAGAAATCAATGAGAAATACATAACAAGAAATAATACCCTGGAAAACTGCAAGTTAAGGTAGTGTTCAGAATAACGGCAAGTGACTTAAGTAACTGAAAACACATTTGGCACAATCCCTCTCCTGAAAGGCAAAAATGCAACTGTTGATATTGCCTTGTAAATAATCACAAATCACTATATGGACAGGTAATGTTGAACGCATCACTGAATTTTGTTGCTTAGCACTAGTTTCCTCATGAAAAGAATATGCTTGAAGTTAGATAGTTGAAAGATAAATACCTAAGAAAATTTCTGGTCTGAAAAACATCTGTCCTAGTAGGACATTGATAAGCTCAATATGTCATATCCTACAAAGCTTAAAAACTAAGTTGATGACAGTTAGACTACTTCTGTTTAGGAAAGAATTATGACAGTAGAAAGTTCTTTGATCTAGCTGAACAAGCCATAAGAAATTGAAGGCCCATTGTACACAAACTCCATAAAGAAATGGGGCCTTTTCAATTAAGAACATGACTCAGCATTAAAACAGTTTAATAAGGATGAGACAGATTTTTCGTCATTTGATGTTCTTATATCATAGAATCATAGAATATCCTGAGTTGG